CCCTATAAAAAAAAAACCCCAAAAAAAAAAAAAAAAAAAAAAGAAATAGGTCTTAGGAGCCCTTAACTCTCTGTGGCCACATACTCGCTAGTCCTTCCCAAATAGCATAACATGTACATTGCTGGTGCTGCTTGAAATGATTTTACACGAATGAGACAATGCATTAACAACTCAATGCATAAATGACTCCACAGGAGTCATAATTTAAAAATTAAGCATTGGGAGTGCTGGTAGGTGGCATGGTGGTTGAGGCGCTGGACTCCCACATGGCTGACTGCAGTTAGAGTCCTGGTCCTGCAGTTAGAGTCTCTCACTCCCTCCCTGTCCCTGTCTCTGTCTGGTCAAATTAAAAATAATAATCATAGAAAAAACTAAACAATTCTTCCAAAAAATTAAGAATGGGTGTGTATGGCAAAAATCCTAGGGAAGGCTTTAAACTTTGTACAGACTTTATAACCTGCTCTCTGCTTGTATGCTTGAGATTTTTAACTTAGACTCTAAAAGATATCTTGGTTTTATAAACTTCATATGTTTTGAGTAAATTGACTTTTTAAAAAAACCTCCCCAAATAGTTTTAATGTAGTTTTTTCTAAGTCAGAAACAGTTTAACAGTAATTTTCCTAAAGCTTTTGAGCTTGGTTTAAGATGAGTGATCATATTTTAATTAAAAAAATCGGTTTTAAAAACGTATAGGTTGTCAAAATGCTGTGTTCCAGCAACCATTTCTGGAGTAGAAATGCATAAAATATTTTTAAATGTCCCCAAAGGATCTAGTAAACTTTATTTTATTAGGCGATTTCATTACAGTTTACATCTAAGTCCTTCTCCTCTTTAAGAAAAGTCAATATTCTTTAACATTTAACCTAATTTAAAAATATATAAAATACTAATCAGAAAAAAATTTAATTTGCCTGACTTATGTTTTTTGTCTGCATGCCAAATCAATTGTCATTCTTCCTGAATAGTGATGACTGAACAGTTACTTTAAGAACTAAGTTAGGGGAACCAGCAGTTAGCATAATGGCTATGTAGCTGGACTCCTACGTAGTGGACTGCGGTTCGCGTCCTGGACCCAGTGGCTTAAAACTAATGCCGGGTATGTGTACATGCGTGCCCCAGATCCTGAGAAGAGAATGGAGGAGAAGGGATTGCAGCATGACCATCCCCCCTGGGGGGTGATGGGGTGATTTCTCACTTTCTGTCTCTATGTGTCTCTCTGTCTTTTTGTCGAGCGCATGGGCCCTATAGCTAAAACCTCTCCAAAAAAAAGAACTAACTTAGAAATAAATGATGAAAAATGAAAAAGTACCATAAAATACTAACTATCGATTTGATAGTAGTCAGTGCTTTTCATTTCACCAATTCTGATTATAAAATTGGAAATGCAGGTCCACTGCAGTGGTGCAAAGGTAATGTAAAACATAGCAGCACTGAAGCCACAGGAAAGGTCCTGGGTTTGTTTCCAGAGATCTCTGTATAAGCTGGGTGAATGATGATCCTTTGGGCTGTGCCTGAGGGTGTAGTTCTTAAAGATCCTATTGAAGAGTGCTTCCCCTCCCCATGGAGAAAATAAATAAATAAACTTAGAACCTGGAAAGAAGCACAGCTTTATTTATAAGATTAAGCTCTTGGAGGTCTTTGATATGTAAGTTAACATTATTGATATATATGCCTAAATTTCATTTGTAATAGACCTTCAAAGTAAAAACATGTTAAATAGTAACTTTCTAGTATATTTCAAAACACTGAACAAGTAAACACGCAGTACTCACCTTTGTATCTGCTAAAGCGTTGATGACATTCCCAAGAGCTAAAAGTGACTTATTAATATTAGTGCCTTCTACAAACCGGGCCCCCTTAGTGTTGGTAGTGCTGGCCCGCTCAGACCCTGCCAGGTCAATGAGTGACATCTTGGCAATGCGGACATTTTGATTGATGCTTGCTGTTTTGTCTTGTTGTCGCAAATAAATCTTTTTGAAATTACAAGAGAAAAGGGGAAAACGATAAGATTTAACAAACTCAGAAGGATAACATACATTTTATTTTTTAAAAAGCAGGAAATCATAATTATTTCTGCTTAAAAAAATGAACTGAACAGAGTATAATTTGATTGATATTTAAGAGTACGAGAGGTAATCACTAAGGCTGAGAAAAATATGACAGTGAGAAGACTTCCCGCACGTGTATAAGGTAAAAATGTATTAGCTCCACCCAACAGAAAGTCAAAACAACTGTTAGTTGCATTCTGGTTATCTCTTCACCCAGAACATGGAATTATTTGAGGTGATGGTGGGGTACACAGTTCCAACAAAAATAATGTTCTAGAGAAAACCGAAGTCAACTGTTAGAATGCTTCGCATGTCTCTAGGGGTTGTTCCAAAAGAAAAGCTAAATTTGATGCCGACCTAAACCAAAGTGTAAATTATTCTTATCTCCAAAACAGTCAAAACATTTAAGATATCATAAGTTTCTAGAAGATTAAACCAATCATTTTCAATTTCCCAGTAAAGCATAATTGATTCAACTATTTTAAGCTGCTTCATAGTAATTTAACTGAAATAAATTAGGTAGCAAACATAAAAGACTTGGGGAAGGTAAATTATTATTCCATCCCCAAATCCTTTTACTAAATTTCCTTATAAAGCAGGGTTTAAGACACTTTAGGTAAATCTCAGTTATAAATAAACATTTCTCTCATGAGAATTGATAGATGAGTTAGAGATTGGAACAGAAAAGACGGGCATGCTGGTAGTGTAGTGGTTAAAGTGGCTGGATATCACACATCCAACTGGAGTTGGAATCCTGGACCAGTGGCTTGAAATAAAGAAAAAAAGGTCAGGCGTACCTGAAGGAGTGCCCAAAATCCAGATGAGAGGGAAAAAAATGGAGGACTGTGGCATGACCGTGGAGAGGTGCTTTCACACTTACTTTATCTCTCCAGTGAGCATATGCCCTCTGTCAAGTTCCCCCCGAAAAAGAAAAAAGGATTAATATAATTGTTGACTGGAGACTGTATGAATGGCTTGATTACTGTGGGTACAAATTGTTTCAATGACAGCAATTTCTTTTATTGCTGGTAATATGCCAGAGGGCACATGTGGTCACCGAACAGAGAGAGAGAGAGACAGACAAAAGAATGAGAAAGTAAGTACCTTCCATGGGGAATGGTCGTGCCACAATCCCTTCTCCACTATTTTTCCCTTGTTTTGGGATTAGGAGCATGCATGCATGCACACACACCTGGCATGTTTTTCAACCTGCTGGGTTGGGCACTTGAACCATACAGTCGGCCATGTGGAATCAGGCTCATGTTAACTACTAGGCTATGGGCTGGACCACAATTTCTTTCTCATAAGATTTATTTCACATAGAATAATCTTGAATGAAGCTTTTATAATCATTTGGATACTGACAAGACAAGAAACTATAAGAAATAATAGCTACTAGACTACACTTTAGCTCTTTTTGTAATTGTATTCTTAAAAAAGGACTATGTTAACTTTCTTATGGAATACAACTTCTTACATGGTCCTTATGAAGAAATAAGAAAAATGAAATGTCTTCACCAACTTAAGGGAAAAAAAAGGTCAAAAAATAAAACTCAAAAAGTTCTTCCCTGGGACTAGCAGTTAGCGTAATGGCTATGTCACTGGACTCCCATGTAATCGACCATGGTTCGCGTCCCAGACCCGGCGGCTTAAAACACGCCAGGCACATGGGCTTGTGTGCCTCACATCCTGAGAGGAGAATGGAGGAGAAAGGATTGCGGTGTGGCCATCCCTCCGGGGGGGTGATTTCTCGCTTTCTTTCTCTCTCTGTCTGTCTGGTGAGCACATGCACCCTATAGCAAAAACCTCTCCAAACAAAAAAAAAAGTATTAAAAAAAGTTCTTCCCATCACCATTATTTACCAAGCTATATCTTGACTAAGGTGAAAATTTATATTTTTTAAAGTCATCTCAATTCTAAATATTCTTGAATAGAAATTACCATCACAAATTTGGCTTTATTCAAAATTCCATTTCAAGAGTGACAGCCCAGTGGCCTGTTACCTGAAACACAGCATGAGAACGAGAAGATGTTGCATTGATATCAGTGGGATGTTGTGTCCTGTTTTTGTTTCCATTATCCAATAACTGTAAAATTTCCTCTGAGGATTTTGGCTAGAGAAATTTAAGTAGAAGAAAAATACACAAATTAGCAACCCACCTTTACATTTTTCAATAAACTTGCAACAAACACGAAAACTTTTAAAGGTAAAAGAAATGCAATAAAATGGTTTTAGTTTTTTTCTATCTCAAATAGCATGGGAAATAGGTGGATGGCCAAGTAACCACATTTGCTATGCTAACTGGGGAAAAATACGTGTATAGACATACCTGGTGTAAAGTCAGTCCCTGGACAACCACACCTTTTTGAGCATCTTCCCGAACAGCAAGTGGCCCTGAATTTACTAAGAGGTCACGAATCTGTTCATTATATACCTTAATATAAAAAAACCCTGCTTTAGCATTGATGTCAAAACAACAGTGATTACATCACATGCACATTGCTGATTTAAGTATATTAGAATTTTAAAGACAAACAGGTGCTCATTTTCATTCATCTCCCTGCTTCGCTTTCATATTGCCATTAATTTTCTACCACCCCAGAAAAATGAAAGACTGATTTCGTCAGTTTGAAATTAAAGCTTACATTTGGCAACATTACACTTTCATCTTGTGATTTCTAACTTGACTAACTTGAAAATAGATGGGACACATGGTTTAGGAAAATTCTGGTGGATCTGAAATGCAGGTTATTTGGAGGTAGCATGGTTATTACTGGAGAAGATATTATCTCATGATGCCCAAATAGTTCAAACTATTTAAATTTTGGAACTTAAAATTTAAAACAAAAGATAGGACAAGGGTTGGGCCTAAAGCACAGCAGCTGAGCACTGCACAGAGCCCACATTTCTGACCAGGGCTTGAGGTCTGGCCCTGGTGGCTTGAAAATCACACAGAGCACAAGTGCACATGTGCCTGGGCTCCTGACAGGATGAAGAACTGGAAGAAAAAGGATAGCGGCGTTACCAAGGCCTGTTGGACAGTACTTTCTTTTTCTATTCCTCTCCAACTTTTTTCTTTTCTTTTCTTTTTTTTACGTGTACTCGTCAGAGAGAGAGAGAAAGTGAGAAGTCACCACTCAAGAGGATGATTACATTGCAATCCCTTCTTCACTCTCCTCCTGGGATTTTGGGCATGCACATACACACAACCAGAATGACTTTCAAGCTGCCAGGTCTGGGAATTGAACTTGGTCAGCCATGTGGGAATCCAGTGCCTTAACCACCATGCCATCCACTGACCCTCTCTCATTTTATCTTTTTTATTCATCCTCTGGTATCCCCTACCCCACAAAAGAAAAAAAATAAAAATAAAAATAATAGATGGATATATTTATTATCATTCAATTAGGTTAAGTTTATCATACAATTATTAATGAGCATTTATCATTAATATTTGAACGATGAGGGAACAAAGGCCCTAAAAGGTTATGTTCATAGCAACAGAAGTAGTATCCGAGTAGGGGCTGGAGCCTCGATAACCTCACTGTACTACGTGATATCGAAAACAAGTCTGCTCCATGTCTCTGGCAAGTTTCCAAAGTAAGTTCTATAAGTAACACACAGAAATAATACTACTGGCATAAATTTTTTTTTTTTTGAGAGGTTTTTGCTATAGGGTGCATGCCCTCACCAGCAAGACAGAGAGACAGAAAGTGAGAAATCGCCCCCAGGGGGGATGACCACGCTGCAATCCCTTCTCCTCTTGGGATCTTGGACATGTACGCACACGTGCCCAGTGTGAGTTTAAGCCACCAAGTCTGGGACTCAAACTGCAGTTGACTACATGGGAGTCCAGAGACATAGCCACTACGCCAACTGCCGGTTTCAACTACTGACCTATTTTTACAAATGTATTAAGGTAGAAAGTTCACTACCTCCTAAGCAAATGACAACTACAACTGTTATTGATAAGAATTAACGAAAAAAAATCATAGAAAATTAAGCCTTTAAAAAATTTATTTTCTTCTATGTTCTAATAAATCGCTCATAGTAATTCATTGCTGGTACCAGTGGGCTTTAGAAAGTTTGTTTTTGGAAAACTACGTATGGATTTAAAATTTTTTTGCAACAAAACAACCTCATACTCTAATTCCATTTACCATAAACTTTCCTGAAGTCTCCCTCTATAATTCTCTTTAATGAATGATGACCATTTTATTAAAATATTGAACACTGCATTCTCTTCAATAACATGGAAGCAGATTAAAAGAAAAAATTTGTAACAGTTATGAAAATAATTGAACTTGAACACTCTCTCACTTATAAAAGGACCTAAGAAAGAATGAATGCTGCCACACTCCTTGTCCAGTTGAGTTCAGGACAATTCTTTTTACTACTTAATACAGAAGATGAATTTTACTTCTCTTTTATCTCTAAGTTCTACATACTGATTAGGAAAATTTTAGCAACATATGATTTTAATCAAGTCCTAAAATTCTCTCAGTAGAGATCAATTATAAGATCGTAAAAAGGAAAGAGATTTTTGACATCAGACATGAATAAGCAGATAAATCAAGGTTTTCTGTTCTGCACTGGAAACACCACTTGAATGTAAAGACAGTGTCTACCACTTAGTTACCATTTGTTGAATGTTGGCTTCAATTTCAAGGGTAGGACCCTCAACAATGATTGTGTATATCACAAGGACACGAGAAGCAACATGAAAGAGCCTCAACTAGATAAATCTTGGACAGTTTGAGCACACAGAAAATGATTACAGAAAGTGATTATAATCTATTGAATGAAACATCCCTGAGTCTATGCTGACGTAATTAAAGAAAAAGCTATTCCATAGAGTAGGCCAATGAATAAATGTAGAAATGATAGTGTTAAAAAAAATCACCATAAAAAAACATCATAGTAACTTATTCAGGCTTGAATCATCAGTAGATGTTAATACTAATAGGTGAACGTTTGAGTAATAAGAGGATATTTACACTGTCTCCCCCAAAGGTACTCATAAAGGGTAAAATTATGAAGGGAAAAATTATTATCTTTAGAGGGAGAAATCATGCAGACACCAGCATAAGGAAACTGGCCAAAGTTCTCACTACAGTAATGGGGTCATTACTGTCATGCTCATGCACTTTGACATGATGCAGTATGAACTTAATATTACCTCTGTGGGTTTTCTGCCAGTGAACAGCCTGAATCTAATCATGACCAACCCAAAAGGAAGACTCTACAAATGAAGAATTTTATGATGGTGCCATAAAATACAAAGAAACACGCAAAAATTTTACAGATTAAGGAGATTAAAGGGATATGACAATTGAATACAATTTATGATCTTGGGTATTCTTTTTCAATAAAGGATAATAGAAAAATCAGTAAAATCTCACTAAGGTCTATAGATTAGATTTGATCATTTCCAGATTTAGATAACTATTCAGTGGTTATTTAAGAAAATTTACTGTTTTTACAATAAGCCTGCAATTTAAAACAGTTCTAAAAAAAGAAATATACACACACTCATACAGAGAAACATTCAAACAAAGAAAGCAAGCAAATATAGTAAAATGTTAACATATGGGGGATCTGGGTATCTGGAAATTCTTTGTTCTATTCTTGCAACTTCTAAGTCTGAAATTATGCCCAAATAGAAACCTTAAGGAAAAAGAGTAAGATGTGTAACAAATACTCAAACCAGGAATTTAAATGATTTTCATGTATTCATGGGAAAATTCCAGAACCTATATAACTTAAAGTTTCTACAAAAGTATTGATTAATCTAAAGAATAATGGCAACTCACCTCCAGATAAGAAACTGCAGTACTACATACTTTCTCTTCTTTAATTTCATCCATGGATTTGTAAAGATTTAACATGGTTAGATACATTACTCCAGGTTCGGCAGCTGATCCTAACATTGTATGAGTCTTCCCAGCTCCAGTGGCACCGTAGGCAAGTACTGAGTTTTTATGAAAATGGATCAAAGCTCTTTGTTATGATATAAACACACAACTATATCCATTGTCTAGCAGAGGGTTCCATCTAGATACCCTGAACAGTTTTAAACCCAGTGGATCCAAAATTAATTTACAGCCTTAACCTCAAAACATAGGAATTTTAACATAATTCTACAATTATTCCTATATTTCTTAATCTGATTAATGGTACCATACACTTCCCCCTATACCTGCCATACACACACTACAGCAACTGCTCCCTTTCTTCACAGTAATCTTTCACATTTTAATCATTCATGACTCTCCCAGTCTACTAGTCTCAATTTTATTTAATCTATCCTTTGGAATTTGTAGTTATTTTTACAGAAAAGAAACCTGAATATGTTACACCTTTCCAGTTCTTCTATAGTCCTGCATAAGCAAGTTCCCATTCCTCACCTTGAAATATCATAAAGCCCTGTAGACAGGTGTCTGCTTCTCTCTCCAGCCCTATCTTCCTTACTGTGATCTAGGAATATATAGCCCCTTCTTGTCTTTGGGGGTTATGTTCCAAGACTCCCAACAGAAACCAGGCAATATCAAACCCTACATATATTATGGTTTTTCTTGTACACATATTTGTATGAAAAGTTTAATTTATAGTGCAGGCACAGTGGATGATTAATAATAAAAAATGAACAACTGTAACAATATGCTGTAATAAAAGTTAAGCTAATGTAGTCTCTTCTAAAATATTTTACTGTATTGTACTTACCTATCTATTGACTGCAGGTAAGTGAAAGGGGGGAAAATAAAACTGCAGATTCTGGAGGGCGAGCGGGATGGAGCTGGTGTATTAGATTATTGGACGTTCTTGGCATTTAATGCTCATTTTCTGTACTACTGCCTTGTCCTAGAGTCCCTCTATTTAATCTAGCTGGAAAACTTCCACCTGTTCCTAAACACTCAGCACAAATGTCACCTTTCTGTGCCTTTCCTGTCACCCTCGGGAGAACCATCCATTTCTTCCTTTGAACCCTGAGTATACACTACAGAGCCACACCCCCCTTCTCTAGAATGCATCGCACTGTACTACCCATCGCCAGCATGGCCAAGACAGAGGTCCTATCCTTAGCATCTAGCAAATCCCCTGGCACAAAGTAGGTACTCCATACAAGTTGGCTGAATGAATTCTAAATAGAAGTCACTATAAAATCCCTTTAAATTATTTTTTTTGGAGAGGTTTTTACTATAGGGTGCGTGTGCTCACCAGAGAAAGACAAAGAGACAGAAAGAGAGAAATCACCCCCCCCCCCGGGGATGGCCACACCACATTCCCTTCTCCTCCGTTCTCCTCTCAGGATCTTGGGCACACATGCACATGCCCCCAGCGTGAGTTTAAGTCACCGGGTTCGGAACTTGAACCATGGTCGACGACATGGGAGTCGAGCAACATAGCCATTATGCCAACTGCTGGTCCCAATTGATAAACAACATTCCATTCCTACTTGACCAGGACGTCAAGTCTCATGGGATAAAACTGAATTAGTCAGTGGAACACTAAAATATTTTACAATTGTGGGGTATTTTGGGAAAAATGTCATAAATACTGACAATTACAAAAATAGGAAATAAATAATGATGTCAATGCCTCGTAAACATTGAATAAAGTGATCATTTTTGTTTCTCTAGGAAATCAGCGAGGCTTTTTCAAAAGGCAAATTATTAGAGCCTTTCAAAAGCAGTAAAGATGCTTCTTTGGCTGAAAGTATTCTGAAATAGTACAAGATGCTCAATTAGCATGAGGCTTTACCACTTTTATTTCAAGGTACCATAAGAAAAATCCTACAAAAAAGCTGCCAAGTACTCAGAAACATCTATTTCCCAGGGACAGATAAATGTATAGATAAACAGTAGGAATACTTATGAATACAAATTATGAGAAATTTTATGCCAGTAATAAGCATGTGGTTTAATAACACAAGAAACTGAAAGGACTGACTATCTGTAGGGGCCATAGCAAGACCCTGCAAGAGAAAGTTTCACGAATGTAAATAATTATATATGATAACTAAATTTCAAAGAAAGTACACATTTTCAGCTAAAGACTTGAATTTCTCAATAATTTTAGAATACAAGCACCTTAAATTTAATCATATTTAGAAGAAAGGGCCACACAGACGTCACTCCTTTTATAAAACTGAAGTCGGATGGAGAAATTGAGTCCCAAACGGAAACAATTACCTGTGCAATTATATCCATTCAAAAAACTACGCAGAATTGGCTTAGTTGTATGTTCAAAAACTTCCAACTGAGTTGAAGTTTCATCAAAAACAGCATCAAATACAAATTTAAGATCTTTATTTTGTCTCTTCATAATATCTCGATTCATAGTTTTTTTTCCGTGGAAGAAACTGACTTCTTCCTGCTTGGGATCAAAAACTAAGATATGTTTATCCACAACATGGACTACTTTTTGGAATCCAGCTGCCTTCTCTTTTGTGTTTTCTGGACGCACACGAACAACTACTTTCATGTGGTGACACAGGTCTTCCTCAGTGACAGACATTGTTGATTATTTTGATTTCTGTTTATATAAAGGCTTGAATATTTTCCTGAAATTAAAAAAAGTAAAGTTTTAATTTTAGTTCTACTGTACACAAAATAATAGGCATGAAGCATTCATTTTAAAAAAGGTATTAATTCTATTCCACCCCCAGGTAAATGTTACTGGTGCTTAAAAAAAAAAGAAAAAAACAAAATACACACACATACACTTAAACTTTCTAAAACAAAAAATTAGATGGTACAAACATACCCAAAACCATAACCTGAGATATTAGTCAGACCCTGCTGCAACCTAAATGTAAACACTAGAGTTGAGCCGTATATAATCAGTTATACTACCCTAAAACTAGCTTTGAGTTCTCACAAGGTTCCAGCACTATTAGACTGGTCATAGGAATGAACAGAAAAGGAACTCTTCTAATCATATCAAGGTAATGATGGGAATGCCTTGGCTTGTGAGCTATTTTTAGTAAAAGCGATCTTGGCTGCAAGCCCCTTGGCAGTAGAAAGTGATACATCCAAGCTGGGCTCTACCTGTATCTTGGAGATCCATGGGGTTAAAAATAGCTCCAAGGATGTACCAACGAGCTAGCTCAGGTCTGAAGGTGATGGAAGTGGTAATATACTCCTTGGGATGCTAAGGTATAGTAGTTTTTGCTCTCTGATGATATGCAAGTGTAAAGAATATCAATGATAGCATTTTAAAATTATGACATTTTAACTTTATGACTGCCTCACATGAAAAGAGAAAAAGTAGATAAGCTAAAAGGATTAACTTGGAAGCCTTAGGTATTCGGCAAATAATCTAAAATCTGAAAGTTAAGATTATAACATAGAGAATAAAAATTACCCCCAAATAAACAAACCAACCAAAGCTACATGAGTAAGGAACTGAAGGAACTGAGGTAGTTAGTATAATCCACTCCTGAGTATATATCCAAAGCAATTGAAATTGGTATGTTGAAGAGAGATCTGCATGCCCATGTTCGGTGCAGCATTATTCACAATAACCAGGATATGGGAGCAACAAAAGTGTCCCTTAACAGATGAATGGATAAAAAAAATGACATACCCATACAGTGGAATAATATTTGGCCTTAAAAAAAATTCTGTCATTTGTGCAACAGGGATAAATCTAGGATTGTATGCTAAATTACATAAGCCAGGTACAGAAAAAGACACTGTACCATTTCACTTACATGTGAAATATAAAAATTCCAATTCATAAAACAGACCAAAGTAGACAGAAGCAGTAAATTCTGTTATCTATTGCACTGCAAGGTAACTACAGCTAATAATTATGCATTATATATTTCAAAATTGCTGAAATTGGATTTTAAATGTTCTCACTACAAAAAAATGATAGGTATGTGAGGTGGTGGATATGTTAATTAGCCTGATTTGCTCACTCCATACTATATATTAATACATTATCAAAATATCACATTGTACTACATAAGCATATACAAGTATTACTTATCAATTAAAACTTAACTTGGGCTGGCTCTGTGGCCTGGAGGTTAAGGCAGTCGAATCCCACATGGCTGACCTTGGTGATCTGAGTCTTGGACCTGGAGACCTGAGAAACATGCCCAGCATGTGTGTGCACACCCAAAGTCCTGAAAGGAAGAGAGGTGGAGGAAGTGGGATTGCAGTGTGACTACTCCCTAAGGGGAGGACTTTCTCCTCTCTCTCATTCTGTCTCTCTGTGGGTACTTTGTGCCCTCTAGAACGATAATTAATTAATTAAAAAGAAAGGCAGGAAAAAAAACCAGTAACATATGAACTACAACTTAGAGGTGAGAAAGCTAATCATGCAGAGACTGGGGAAAGTACTTTCCAATAGAATGGCTAAGGCCAGGACCCCAGCATCCCACCTGGTACGTTAGTTGTTGTAGAATGGAATGAGCAGAGGAGTCCTAAGACTTTGGCTTGTACTCTGAGTGAGATAAAGAGGAGACGTTTTTGAGCACGGGACAGAGAGAATACAATCACTGACTGATGTGCAGATAAAGTACTACAGGGAACGGAGAAGAGACCATTGAAGATAGACAAGAGATGATGTCAGCTCACAAGGGGTAAGTGGTCAGATTCTGGATGTATTCTGAGATAAAGCCAACAGAATTTCCTGATAGGAAAGGCGAAGAAGGTAGGCTTTTAAGAATAACTCTAGAAGTTTGGCTCAAGTATTGGAAGAACGGAGCAGCTGTCAACTGAGTGGAAGTAACAGTAGAAAAGGTTTAAGGGAGAAGATCAGGAATTAAGTTTTGGACATCTTGAGTCTAAGAGTTTTCACAGACACCCAGGTGGAAATGTCAAGACACATGGAAGCCAACTTAAGAAAGTAAAGGCTGTCTTCAGAGTCTTAAAGCAGTTTCTAAAGCTTAAAAGTGCATTAGACTCTCAGAAACCCTTAAAGTTTGAATTCTGGCACCAGCAGCTTGAAAAATACATCAGACACTCTTGCATGAAAGAAGGATCAATGAGAGAGTAAACCTGTGTGGGAAGAAGGAGAAGAGGAAGGTGAAATGACTTTCTTTTTCAGAGTCAGCAGGTGGTATAGTGATTAAGGTTCTGGACTCCCATGTGGCCAACAGTGGTTTGAGTTCTGGACTCAGTGGCTTGAAACTCATGATGGGCACCTATTGCGTGAGTGCCCACAGTCCCAGGAGGAGAGTAGAGAAGAGGGGATTGTGGCATAGCCACCCCAACAGGGGTGATTTCTCCCTTTCTGACTCTCTCTACCCAGAGATCTCTATGGTGAAAATCTCTATTTAAAAAAAAAAAGATTTTCTTTTTCAATTGTCAGAGGGCACATCTGCTTATGTGTGTGAGAGAGAGAGAGGGAAGGAGGGAGAGAGAGAATACATTCCCCCAAAAGTGCGGCCATATGGTAATCCTTTTCCCTCCATTTCCCCAATCCCATTAGGATTTTGGCCATGGAGACAAACATGTCTGGTTTGATTTTCAAGCCACTGACACTGAGATTCAAACCATGGTTAGCTACGTGGGATCTGGTTCCCTACGCACAAGGCTTAACCTCTGTACTATGGGGCTGTACTTGTTTAATGACAGAATAGTCCGCAATATTAAAAGTTAAAATGTGTCACGAAACCATACGCTTTTGGACAGAATTCAAACAAGACTAAAGTAATCTAAAAGCAGCAGATGCTGGACACAGCTCTACCTTTTTAGGGCTACGTCCTTAGCCAAAAATAGAATGCTGAAAAGGAAAGGATGGCCATTTGGATTCTAACAGTCAGGTCCCGAGTGGATTATCACTCTGCTCTCTTCATCCTTGAGATTCTGTCCGGCAAGTCCCACAGAGCACCTTACAGCACTTCTACGACCTTGGACAAGTCACCTAACCCGAGTCTCAGGTTTCTTGCTTATAGGAAAGGTATAACAATATCTCACAAGATTGTTGTGAAGGCTAAGAAGGCAAGTATTAAGTGTATCAAGGTATTCAAAAAAATGCCAGTTCTCTTTCCTATTTGCCCCAACTCCTGCTGCTTCTTTCTGAAATATCTGAGACCATCCTTCAGTGTCCACGGATGGCTTAGGACTGGCACTTTGGGTAAGACAGTTCTTTTGTTTAGAACTGTCCCCTCTCAGTGGATGTTTAGTATTTCTGGTCCCTGTCTATTAAAGGCCAGTAGTGTTCCATATTCCTTTTGATACCAAAAAACCCCTACTTTTCCCCATACATATTACAAAACGCTTTTAGAAATATTCAGCAATGCTTTGGTTTTAACAGATATCTTATGGACTCAAGGAGGTAACATATTTCTTGTTAATTAATTGAGTCAGTAAGTAAACTAAAAAGACATTGGAGCCGGACAGCTTAGGTTGCAATTCCAGCTCAACTACTGCTAGCAACAATATTGGGTAAGTTGCTTACTGTCCTTTTGGTTCAGTTTCCTCATCTGTAAAGATTATAACTATCTCATAGAGTTGTTTCAAGGACTAACACGTTTAACTATGACTGGAATAATACAGACTACAAGTGCTACTATTGTTGCTGCTAGGATCATTCCTAGTACAGGGAGTGAAACAGATACTGATAAAAAACAGACACGAAGATGTAAAAAGAGTACCTGATGAGTGCTACAGGGGAAAGGTTAATAGTGCTATATTAGACTATAAGGAGAAGTGAATAGAGCTTGAAGGGTTCCTAGAAAAGTGACCCAAGTTGAAAGCTACAGGATACATAGCTATAAACCAGGAAAGGAAAATAGCTATGCATTTGGTAAGTATTTGTTGTTTTCTATGTGCTCGCCATTTTTCTGGGCCCCAAGATATGATCAGGTGTGTGTACCGTCTCCTATTTTTGATGGAGTAGCAAAGCTTTTCTTGTGGGATAATCTTTTAAAGAGACTGAAGAGAGAGAGTGAGCAAATGGTTGTCTTGGGCATGTGCATTTCAGATGGCATATCCCAAAGACTGGTGGGAAAGAGCTTGTCCAGAGTACATAGGCTAATTAGCTGCATGACCAATTTACTTAAAGCTCTTGTTTCTCCTAATTGTTTAGTTATTGCTGAAAGGATATATATA